CATTTTGCCATTCCCCACCATGCAGTCAGAGCTGAAGAAGCTTCTTGGATGAGAAGCGAAACGTCTTCAAAGAAAAACAAAGTCCAGTTGCCTCCTGAAAAAGCAGCTTTGGCAGGGCCCTCTTAACAGCATTATGCCCCCACACTCCCCGCAAAGCAGTGTATTGGGGCCCTTAATACAGGAATAAAAATGTAACTGGTCGATAAAATTAAACATATATTTATTTTATTGGCACTTAGGTGTTGAAACATTAAAAACATGCTGTGCAGCAACAACTAATCAACATGATGAACATTTGAACAATGCAAGAGGCTTGAAAAACAACTAATTTCTGACAGTATACAATAATATAAGCAGAAGCCAATAAAAAAGCTTAATTCTTAATAAGTGATTTATAGCAATATATCCTATTAGAAGCAAATAGCAAATATTGGTTTAATCAGTAACAATTATATAGTAACATAAGCAATTCATAATAAAAGCAAATAGCCAATATTGATTCATGTTGATTCATATACTCCTTCATTAACCCTTCAATGCACCTTATATCATATAAATATAGCAACCATATCACTGAGATTATTGTTTTTCAAGCCTCTTGCATTGTTCAAATGTTCATCATGTTGATTAGTTGTTGCTGCACAGCATGTTTTTAATGTTTCAACACCTAAGTGCCAATAAAATAAATATATGTTTAATTTTATCGACCACTTACATTTTTATTCTTGTCTTAAGGACCCCAATACATTGCTTTGCAGGGAGGGGGGGGGGCATAATGCTGTTAAGAGGGCCCTGCCAAAGCTGCTTTTTCAGGAGGCAACTGGACTTTGTTTTTCTTTGAAGACGTTTCGCTTCTCATCCAAGAAGCTTCTTCAGCTCTGACTGCATGGTGGGGAATGGCAAAATGTATATGAGGAGCGAAACTTCTTCAAAGAAAAACAAGAAAGCCCAGTTGCCTCCTGAAAAGGCATCTTTGACCTGGATTTGACCACAAATCTCTTTATAAGGGGAAGAGTTGATCGCTGAGGTGAAACGCCGATTTCCGTCTAAGATAGCGCAGTGCAGTAGCAGGAAGGGATCCTTTCGCGGCGCTATTCCTTTCTCTGCCTGGGGCGCGAGAGGGATCGGGGTGTGTGTGTGGGTAACTCGTGCGCGTTCGGATCGGATCGAAGGAAAATGAACGCAGCCAGCCGGAGGGTGGTGAAGGTAAGTTGATGACGCGAGGTTGGGAGACCCTTTTAGGGCTTCGGAGGCATCTCGAAGAAGAGGCGGTGGTGCTGCAGGAAGCTCGCAAGCGACTGAAGTTGATAAGAGGCGCCTCTTTTGAGGAGGAGGCGGCGACGGGGTCTCCAACCCGCAGAACTTGGGAGAAGCCCTTCCAGCATCTCAAGGAGTAGAGATACTTGAAGCAACCAGGCAGTTCTGAAGACTTAACCGGGATGGGGTGGGCAGGCGGTAGCAGTCTCCGGCAAGCCTCCCCTTGGAGGGGCTTTACTGCGCGCCTTTTATTTTTAGAGAGCCTTCGGCAGAAATGGTTTAGCTTCCGTTTTTAAATACTTCGCTTCGGTTTTGGCTAGGGAGAGGGTAGCTTTAACGGGATGCTCTCCTATACGTTTTGGGTCATCTGTCTAGACTGTCCTAACATTTTTCATAGTTTGGTGCCCAGAACGCCTCCTTTAGAGCCGGACAGGGATAATTTGGAGCGGGTAACCCTGTTTTGAAGGAAAATGCTTGAAACGACGAAGAAAAGAAGCTCTTAGGCGCTTTCGGTTTCGTTTCCTGCTGGCTGGAAAGCTTTCCATGGAAAGGAGGGGGGAGGAAACAAAACCGAACTGAAAAGCTGTTTTCAGATAACGTGAAGCGACTCAGAAAAGCCATAAAGCAGAGCTGTGCGCTGCTGGATATAAGCCATTGCGGTGTGTGTGTGTGTGTGTGTGTTTTTTACAAGGATTGGAAAATGAAAAGAAAATTCATTGTATTTCAACTGGCATCATTCCTCCTTAAATCCAAGATGACAGCACTTAGGTTGGGGCAAGGCTAACATAGAAACATCCCTGCGTTGCTTGAAATGTGTCCTACTGCTGTCAGGATGATCTTGGAAATATTTTGTGGTGCGTGTGTGTGTTTTGTTGTATTCGTACATTCGTTCGTTTAATCATTCATTTTTGTCTTTTCAGGAACTTGATGCCATTAAGAAATTAAGGTTACAATACTTTCGGGATATTCAAGCAGATGTGACCAATAATCTCCTTTGGAAAGGACTTTTAGTGCCGGTGAGTTCAAAGAAGCTGCATAAGAACAATTGAGTCTGACTGCTTGCAGGAGAGTGTAATGTATTAGTCAAATTAACCTAGCATGCTGTCACTTCAAAACAATGATTTGGGTTTGATGAAAGAAATGTCCTTCTGGGTTCAGCTCCAAGTGGGGAAAAAGACACTGGAGACACGGAGACTGCTTGGAAAGATGGTTTATTGGTGGACAGGGCCACAGGGCTTGAGCCCTGAACAGAAAAGGTGATCACATGCTTCAATATTGGTGGAGAAGAAGAGAAGGGCCAGGGAGGGGCTTGCTAGGCTTCTTATAACCTGTTTAGTCCCACCTCTCTGTTTCCTGTTCCTGTGTAAGAAATGTATTCTGATTGGTTGTCAGACTCCCATGGGGCCATGTAGGGGCTACTCTCTAGGCTGTGTTTTGAATCCAGGTATGGATGAGTTCTCAGATGCCATGTGGTCAGTTGAGTAAAGGGCCAATATTATCATGCTTTTAATCCTATCTCCCCTGCAGCTGCAATGGAGAAATCTTTATTATGTAAGTGGACTAGCTTGGCCTTCTTAATGGCCCATTAACAGTGGGGATGGACAGGAAGCTACAGGCAACTATTCTGTCTTTTAAAACATGTTTCTTTCTTTTCATATCCAGAGAAATATTCTGCCTTTTCAATATTTCCTAGGATATATCATTTTTCTGGGAGAGGGCTGGATGATAACTTCCCACAGGTTATCATGAAAATACCACAAAGTATCAGAGCCCTTATTTCAGTGGGAGTGGATTACATGCTCAATGTGGGGTACTAAAAGGCCTTACATATTCACCATGTGGGATGGGACTGACATCTTTAATTTTAGTTTGTTCTGCAAGGAAAATTGCATTCCTTAGCCTCCTATGAATCATGCTTGTTCCTGTCCTTATACCCAGGATAATCCTCCATACAATAAAGGGGCCTTCTGGATTGAGATAAGTTTTCCATGTGAGTATCCACTCAAGCCTCCTAAAATAAGCTTCAAAACCAAGTTCTACCATCCCAATGTGGACGAGATGGGTCAATTGTGCCTGCCAATCATCAGCGCAGAGAAGTGGGATCTTAAGACAAGGATAGACCAAGGTATGACCTGGGCAGGATGGATAGAGCTGGGGCTGCCAGATGACTTTCATTCAATTGCCACTGTGTGTACGTTTTTCTCTGTTTCAAGGAAGTGTCATTTTTAATCTTTCCTGCAGTAATTCAGGCCTTGATAGAGCTGGTAAATAAACCTGATATAAAACATCCACTGCGCCCAGACTTGGCCAAGGAGTTCGACGAAGACCATGAGAGATTCCTGTTACAAGCGGAGGAGCACACCTGTAAATTCAGTGAGAAGCGCCCATGTGAGTGACCTGTGCTCAGCAACTGGAGTCCACCTTATATAATTTTTTGGCTTCACAAGTCCTTGTCTACCAATGGGATAGTAGAGAAGAAGGACCAGACAAAAAAATGTGCATGATGAAAATTTGGACTTTTCTGAGTTTAAAGCCAGAACTACTCATTTGAGGAACATTTATATGCTTGAATAAGCATAGGTTCAATGTTAAAATACAGATGCATCTGAATTAAGTTAAACATTTGTGACTCTTCATGGTACGGATGAAAACCTGTGTTACTTTCCCCATCCTGGAGCTAAAAATCTATTACCCGAAAGGATAGTTCTGGCTTTAAAGTCAGTATTGGATTTCAATAAATTTCAAATTGAATTGAGGAAATGACATAGTTTTTTAAAAACAGAATAATATTTTCCCTCAAAAGAACAGAACAAATTAGGACATTTGCAAAGTTACAGGAGTACATCATAGGATGTATTTCACAGAGAAAAAGTACTAAGTTTTCTGTTTTCCAAATACTTTCTAAGCAAAGAATGATTTATCAGAACAGACCAATAGGAATACTCCTGGAAAAAAGAATATTGCATGCATTTCATTGCATGTCATTCTCTTACTAGTATATCTTATCTTGGATGAAGAAAATGAAACACATTCTTAATTCTTTTTAATTTGTTCTTCTTCATATAAGTTTCCATTTTCATAGTCATTCCTGTAGTATTTTAGGATTGTTTCCAAATCTTTCCTTTTCAATTCCAAGTTTAATTTATTTAATGTATTGTCGTGTTTCCCTTTTTTCTTAAACCTTAGTAATTTCGTAGGTTGTGTTGCTTTTTAACTTTCCTCCTGTCATCGTGAAATATGTTGAGCTGACTTTCTGTTTTGTAATAAATGTAAGCTATAATAGATTACAAATAATGATATATTACTACATCACAGATTCCTGGTGGTTTTTTTTTGTTTTCATTTTCTCTATGTGAATTTGATTTTACACCTTTGCAGAGTTCTAACAACTGTTAGCAATACATATGGCTTCACAATCACATATATCGTCAACAATACAACATTGTGTAACTGTATTGGTATGACATCAGTTTTGTATCAGTAGGCAAAGCGTGTAGACAAAGCACATAAGTACCCCTAGAAAAAGAGAAAGAGACCATTATTTCAGGCCTTGTTTTTGTCTATCTGAATTTTCTTCTTGCTACAATGAATCATATACCCAGTAATCACTAAGAAGCAGTTCTCTGAAGTATAAGAGAGTTTTGCTAATAGTGGTGTGTCTAGTTTAATTAACAGAAGGACTAGGTGACATCATAGCAGTCTGCCAACATTTGAAGGGCTGCCACAAAGAAGAGGGAATCAACCTATTCTCAAAACACCTGAAGGGAGGACAAGAAGCAATGGATGAACATTTATCAAAGAGAACCAACCTAAAACTAAGGAGAAATTTCCTGACACAGCAATTATCAGTCAACAATACAACATTGTGTAACTGTATTTCCTCCAAAATTTGTGGCTGCTCTAACACAGGGATTTTAAGAAGAGGTTGGACAACCATTTGTCTGAACTGTTATAGGGCAGGGCAGTGGTGGGATTCAGCCAGTTTGCACCTATCCGGCAGAACCGGTTGTTAACTTTCTAAGCAGTTCGGGGAACCGGTTGTTGGAAGAAATTTTATTTTGTTTTTTTCCACTTTACAAGGCTAATCCTGCAAGGAAGGCAGGAAGGAAACATTCTGCTGGGGTTTCTAGACTAATTTTTATTACCTTGCTTACAGAAACTGCCTCTCCGGTTAACCCTTATTACATTCTAACAGCTAAGACGAAGCACCCATTGTGACGTTGAGTTGGCCATACCCACCAGTCACATGACTACCGAGCCCCGCCTACCTAGATGGTCATTAGGGCAGAGAACCGGTTGTTACATTATTTGAATCCCACCATTGGGGCAGGGGTATAAAATTCAAGGGTCGTGGGCCACATCTGGCCTGCAGGGTGTTTAAATCTGGCCCACAGGGCCAGCCTGGAAATAGCAAAGGATTGGGCAATGGTGCCTCTGGCGGCCAAAATGGGGCATGGGGGCAGCATGCAGCATTTTGCTGGCCAAAACAGGGCCCATCTCCCCCTCCCATAGCCCACAGCAAACTACAATGCTACTCCGGCCCTCGAAGAAATCCAGTTTGACACCCCTGTTATAGGGTTTCCTGCTTGAGCAGGGGTTGGACTAGAAGAACTCTAAGACAGCCCCCACTTCCAGCTCTGTTATTCTGCTATTCTGTTGGAGGTGTTAAGTGAAGGCCATATCGTTCAGATTTTGAAATACCTCAGTTGCTGGAGTGGCTATAGAAGAGTGAACTATTGAGGAGGCAAAGCAAGCCTCTTCTGACGCTTTTCCTCCTTGGTCCAGTGCTTAAAAATAGGCCAGAATTCAAGCAGTGGTTCTTAGTCAATGCAGTGTGTGTGTGAGAGAGTGAATGAGCGAGCTGTTGTCTAATTGAATCAGTCTCACAGATCACAATGATTTGCACCAAGACTGTCCAGTGTCTCCAAAGATAGTTTCAGTTATTGATACTAAGTATCCGTTAAGATATAACGAAGGAGAAGTCAGTAGCAAAGTACTCAAAATGTTTTCAGTAGTGCTTGTTTTTCACTTTTTTGTGATGTCTTTTAAGTAATAAGTAGAAGTGCTCAGTTTATTGTTGATTAAGAATTAACCATGAGAAAAATCCAATATATTTAAATGGTTCATTCTTTATCAATAATATAAAGGTAAAGGTTTCCCCTCTCACATATGTGTTAGTCGTTCCCAACTCTAGGGGGCGGTACTCCTCTCTTTCAAAGCCGAAGAGCCAGCGCTGTCCAAAGACGTCTCCGTGGTCATGTGGCTGGCATGACTAAACACCGAAGGCGCACAGAACGCTGTTAACCTTCCCGCCAAAGGTGGTTCCTATTTTTCTACTTGCATTTTAACATGCTTTTGAACTGCTAGGTTGGCAGAAACTGGGACAAATAATGGGAGCTCACTCCATTACACGGCGCTAGGTATTCGAACCGCCAAACTACCCACCTTTCTGATCGACAACCTCAGCATCTTAGCCACTGAGCCACAGCATCCCATCCCTTAGGGCTCAATACACTGAGCCCTAATTGTAAGCTCCTGGTCCACTTTACTGACACTATATTTTTGCATCAATTCTTTTTTTATTCCCTTTCCTTTTTTCACTTGTTCAGGAAAAAGTTTAAAACTACCTCCAAAGTTCATACCACTTTAAGTTTTAGCTCAGCATATCTGACCTAGGAGAGGAGAAGCAGTGAATTGCCTCTCTTTACTTAGAAAAGACAGCTACTTTGGGATGGAGCTGAAGGGCTTCTGGCAGCAGAAATCTCACTGAGACATCAACAGTAGAGCAGAATTAAACCACTAGCTCAGCGATGGTGAACTTTTTGGCATTGAGAACCCAAACCAGAATGTGTGCATGCTGGAATGCTGGAAACACGAAGATCAGCTGGCCGGTGCACAGCTGGTCTTTGGGTTTCCAGCACTCTGCCGTGTGCAAAGACCAACTGGCATGCTGGAAACCGGGAGACCAGCTGGTGACGATGCACGTGCCCATAGAGAGGGCTGTGTGTGCCACCTCTGATACAGATGTGCCATAGGTTCACCATCACTGCATTAGATATGCTTTCCTAGGACTTTCCTAGGACTTGCTTTCTTTTCAAGTTCCCCCCTTTTTAAAGTAAGCTTTTCCTCTGAATGTTATCTGCATTGGCCTCTGGAAATAGGCCTATAAAGGTGTATGTATTTCTGCAAACTAAAATACCAGCATGTACACCTGTCTTTTGGTTTCAATAAATAAGAAACAGTTTGCAGCTCTCCTTCCTCTTTAATTCGGGCTTAAAGCCCTCTTCCTCCTCCTCTTCCCTTTCTAAATATAGTGTGTTTATATTTAAAAGTGGGAAGAAGATGCAAAGTGGGGGGATTTTTTTACACTGAATTAGATCCTGTTTGCCATCTCGTAAAATGAGCTGTCTTCCAAACAATTTCAACTTGTTCCTCCCCAAAATCCTTCCACACTGCTGAGAACAGGGCAAAATCACCACATGTAAATCTCTGCCTCCGGAGAGGTTTTCATTGCCACACATTGATGTTTGCCCAGCACTTTTCCTGTAAACCAACAAAGGAGGGAATCCCCCGCTCCCTCCAGTCAGCTTGTTTATTCTTAGCCTCTTATCTGCACAGTGTGATTTCTTTGCTCAAAGTTCAATGGTTTGGGGAGTAGCTGAATCCAGGAGAGCTTATTTCTTAGGAAACAAACATAAGATTGGGCCACGTATGCCGTGTTGCTCAAAACATTCTAATGTGCCCGGGCAGCGACTTAAGACAGAGCATATTTGCATTCTCCCTTGGAAACCACTCTTGTAGGGCACCTGAGTTGCCGGTTGCTAAAACAGAATGCAGCATAAAAGTACAGCGTGACAGCCTTGACTTGGTATAGTTGTGCTTTAATGGAACTGGTGCCTGGTAAGGGGAAGGGTGATTGCAGCATGGGTTGCAGGAAGGCTTTTGCAATCTGAAAAGAGGACTCGGAGTTGCTGATGGTAACATCTGGAAGGACAGACTGCTCCTGAGTCATGTGTCCTTGGGGCAGGCTCAGTTCTGCTTCCATAAACACCAGATGTTTGACATGATGACGTGACATTTAGCAAGCGTTCCTTTCCTGCTCTTTTTAGGTGGCAGAAGGGTGGCGCATAGCAGACTTTAGTCGGGGTTAAGTAGCACTGGTCAATTCAATATTCAGGAAATTGCAGAATATATATATGTCTTTTAGCCTGGGTACATCCCATGTTGCATTCCATCTGAAAAATAAAAAAAAGACATCCAAATTTGAGGTGTCTTGGAGGAAACACAGAAGCCAAGCACAGTGGATGGTTCCAACAACTGCTACAATTTCTACGGTGTTTCTAAGCGGGTTTAAAGGCCAGCCTACCTGCCAATTGGATACAGAAGAACCATGGCCCTATCATCATCCTCTTTTAATCACCCCATAATCCCTTGCGGGAGTGGAATCTGGGCAACTGAATGGAGCTGAATGTTTACTGGCCGGGTGCCCTTCCTGTTACCCAGAGGTTTTTTTTTTTTTTGCACCAGATATATTCTCATTGTGCCCAGAGAGAAATATCTGCCTCTACCTAGGATCAAACTCACAGCCTCCTGATTGTGAAGGGAGAGCTCCACCTCTAGGCCACCACAGCACTCAGAAGAACCACAGCCCTCTGTTTCTTTGAAATATGGCTTTAATGTGGAAAGGATCCAGCTGTTGAATAAAGTCTTTTCCCAATCTAGAGCCCTCCATGTGTGTTGGACATGTTGACTGGGGATCTTAATGCATGAAGTCTCATATCTACAGGGCAGCGGTGAAATTTTAAAATTCAAACTGGTTCTGTGGGTGTGGCTTGGTGGGTGTGGCATGGCTTGGTAGGCGTGGCAGGGGAAAGTATACTGCAAAATCTCCATTCCCACCTCACTCTGGGGCCAGACGGAGGTGATATTTACCAGTTCTCTGAACCACTCAAAATTTCCGCTACCGGTTCTCCAGAACCTGCTGAATTTCACCCCTGCTACAGGACACCTGGTCAGTCATAGCTAGAATACTTTTGCCTGGGACTACTCTTTCACAAGTAACTGTCTTTATGTGCCATTTTTATTGCACTAATATGCTCCAGCTAGACTGCTAATAATCACCTAGAAGTGGAAACAGCAACATTTATTTTATTTCCATCTATTCTGTTTATTTAAACAGAATGTCTAGAAATAAAATGGTCTTGCAGGCCAAAATGGCTTAACTTCCCAGTAATGAAAACGTTAAGATCCCTACCATCACGATGGACTTTTGTTGTCTAGCGGTGAAACACCTTTAACATCTTTAAGCATTTCTTAATCATTTATGTGTTACCCTTTGTTGTTTTCCACCGATTAAAATAGTGACATTTCCATTTAAAGAGACACTATATTACTTGGTAGCTAATAAACTAACATGGTATTGAGATCCATGAAGAAAATTGTACTATATCCCAATAAGAGCATCATTCCCAAATTCTGAGGGTGGGTGAAAAATAAAATATGGTAAGATTTCCAAGTTGTATGTTGAAGATTTTTAAGTTAAATATGAAACCCTAATTTTTTTAGCCCTAATATCTAAACACGTGTAAGTGTTCTGAGCCAGACCTGGAAGATGGGGGAATAGTTTAAAAACAAATTATGACTAAAATTCTTCTTTGCCATGTGCTATCAATGAGCAAGATCTCAAACCTTCTACTATTTTTCCATTTCTTTTGGTTTTATATAGTTGCACTTAATGTGATTCTAGAATTTCAAGGAGCTAGTCCCCTTTGATGATGAGAACCACAGAACCCTTCTTACCTGCCCCACCAAGTTTTTCTATAGCTTCCAATGAACCCCAAACCAAAGCCTGGTTTGCATTTCTATTTCTTCTTGGTCTTTACTAGCCCTTTCTCCACCAAGCTGCGATAAAGTTCCTGGACATAGGTGTAGATGCACTTATTATCAGGAACACTCATGCGCACCATATCCTCCACCTCCAGAAGTTGAGCACAGTCTGCATATTTCCTGGAAAAAAATGGAGAAATAGTCAACTATACCCCAAAGATTTGGCAAAGCAGCTTGATTATAGCTTTTCATTCTCAGAATTAACAAGCATTATTCTAGAGAACTGGATCAGGATGCAAAGGTTTCCAAAATCATGGCAAGGTCCAATGAGATAGTTAATTTGAACCTCTTGCCCTTTTACATTGAATACATTTCATTATAGCACTAGAGCAGAGGTGTCAAATTCGCGGTGTGTGGCCCGGATGTATTATGTGCTGGCCATGGCAACCCCCGGTTTAGCGAAGGGGCAAAAATTGTTATGCGTCACGTGTCAACAACATGGCACCATGAGTTTGACACCCTGCACTAAAGTCACACACTGGGAACACCACAAGTCACTGAAATTATTTTAAAACTCTGGGGAACACAATATATATACATAAAACCTACTCTTGCTTTTCATCATCTGACTATCATTTTCCTTTGTTCAATTATCTAGCAAGGACTCCTGCTTCTATTTCAGAATGGGTCCTTAACTCTGGCTATTCAAAGACTTTGAATTCTCTCCTTCAGAACTTAATGTTATCTTGAAGCTTTATTCAGCCTCACCAGTATACCTCGCCAGTGATTTAGGATTTTGATAAGGGGTGACCTGTTGCTGCTTGGTGTGAGTCTGCTGCATTTTTAAAAAAAATGTGCTGCTTTTCTTTGTAGAGTACATAATTACTGATTATTATTTATGATGGTTGTATACTATCTCCAAGTTCAGAGATACATTAGTGTGCATGTCAATACCACTATTGAAGGACCAATGGGAGGTTGCTACTCAAGATTTATGTTTAACTGTTGCAGAACACAATTCTGGTCTAGATAAGACTTTAATTTGATCCAGAGGACACTTAGGTTGTTATGATAATGTTCTTGAAGGTGTGTTGATTTCTTGAAGTTTCCTGTTTTATCAAGCTGAACAGTTAAAGGTTGATCAACTATGACATAACTACTTTTTCCTTGTAAATGTAAAGCAATCCCTACTGTGTTAAGCAGTTGTGAAGAGCTCCTTAGGAAACGTCACTCTGTGCCAGTTACAATCATTTCTTTTTGAAACAAGAGATGCTAATAAATAGAAGATAATAACTCCGTGTTTTTAATTTCATAGTCTGGTTTTAAGCTTAGCTTTGGGTCGAATAAACTTTTTGATTCTCAGTTCTGACATTCTCATTCTAATAGATGTTAGATTCTAATTCTCATAGATGTTCTGTAGCTGGATGTTTCAATACTTCTGATTATACTTATATTCATGATCCTGGCTATCTGAGAAGGAATATGGGCCAACCAAAAGAAGTTGGGAAACTATTAGCAGATAACTTTATGGATTGGAGAAATGAAGGTCAGTCTCTTTGTAAAAGTCTATTCTTCTTTTAAAATTCAGGTTCTCAGCTTGATGGATCTATGTGAATCTTTGATGAAGGTGTCTAATGCTAAGTGTGAGCAAAAAAAAAAGTCATTTGTCAGTGGTAAGATACCCCTGAATATTGTAAAGATAATTAGGCCATGGTGATCTATGTTTTTCTCACAGCAATAAGATTAAATTATTGCAGTCTGCTGCACATAGGGTTGCCTAGGGAGATTTTTCATAAACTTTAAACCTAATCCAAAATATTTCTGCTAAATATAGATAGGATTGGTGGTTAGAAATATATGGCGCCAAACTTTTAGCCACCAGTCAATTTAAAAGGAAGCTGCAAGATTTCAGATAGTACATCCCACATGGTATGGAGCTCAAGTAACAGAATAAAATCTACACAACTGTACTTGCATATGAAGATAATTCTATATGTTTTCCTCTAGGTTTCCCTAGTTAGGGAGGTTATGTGAAGTAGTGGGATTCAAATAATTTAACGACTGGTTCTCTGCCCTAATGATTTCTTCCAACAATCAGTTTACCAAACTACTCACAAACTTAATAACTGGTTCTCCCGAAGTGGTGCGAACTGGCTGAATCCCACCACTGGTTATGTGCTTCCCTGCCCTTTCCACATCCTGCTGCTTGTATGAATAGAAGGCCTTTTGATCAAGTTACAATTTTAATTTGTTAAAAATGGCAACATTTGCACATCTGCCAGTTTAATTGATCAGTTATTGAACACGGTTTTGATCTTTTGTAACACTGTTATTTCATATGAACTACATAAACAGTACAGCTGGAAAGTAGGACAAAATTACTCCAGAGAACAACTTCACGCATTTACCAACACCACAGTGCACTTTCTGGAGGTCAGTACTCATCCCTGACTCAGCCTGCCCTATAGCTGTGGTTGTGGCCGGAGGTCTAGAATGGAGGGGAGTGCTTACTCAGCAGTAGAGAAGGCCAGGGTGAAATTCTCTTTGCGATTTGCTGGATCAAGGTTTGCATAGTCAAAGGCATCAGGAAAGAACTTGTGGATGAGGGCACAAAAAGCCATGCCACTTTTCCAACTGGTAGAAAAGTTCTGAATGTCCACATGCTGAAAATGAGAAAAAGAGATATTGAGCACAAAAGGTCAACCATTTCTCCTTTTTTAGGTTTTCCTGCACTAGCAAGTGACTGAAACATGCATTCCTGTCTATTTAATATAAACTTATCATTCTGGTAGAACATACTGTTGGATTGGAACAAGTTGCATGAATGGATTTACTTACATATGACATGAAACAGGGCAGCAATTGGGGAGCATTCTGAATCTAGATTATTGTGTTGACATCCTCCCCTTTTTGAGCACTGTTAATTGTAACTTGGAAGTGAAAGGAAAAATTGTAAGGACGATGGAGAATTAATTTACTGCCCCCATGTGCTCAGCATTCTTACTTCACCTTACTTTTATATTTTAAAATTTCACATAATGCTTCCATCATTTATCTCTCAGTAATCCTTCAAGCCTGCCTGCATATTAGGTCATGGTTTGTGAAGCCATCATTTCTGATATACAGCACACATTGCATGTAGAGATGGTTTCATCTATTCACCTGGATGCTCGTGCTATTGTGATAGGCCCTGTGTTTTGTAGTAGATGAATTATCAACACATATTTCACCATTTTCACTGTGTCCTAACAGTTTCACTAAAGGTTAGGCATTATAACTTCAAAGTATCTTTACAATCTCAGTACGTGAGTTATATTGGCTTTCAACTAAGATTTTTAGTTCATGAGCTCATTCTCTTAACTCTTTGAGTGAAATTCAACATCTGAATATAAAGCATAATGAGAAAACAGTACAGGCTAAAATTGCACACATGAGTCTTCATATTCACATGATAGTGAGTATGTGCTGGTTAATAACAATAAAATACCAACAGTGCACAAAGAAGTACAGTATTTCCTGACCTAGTTCACAGAAGAGATTATTCTACTATGATCCCTCCAGGGCTTTGTGCTCCAATTTTGATCAAAAAGAGGACAAGAATTTGGAATACCATCAGAATCGAGAAATGTTCTCTCTCTCTCTCTCCCTCTCTCTCCAAACAAATGAACAAACAAACAAACAAACAAACAGTAGCATCAGAGGGCTTTGAGGGAGGGGGCAGGTGCTACAAGTTCATAGTCTTTAACTCTGGGTACTGATGCTTTCCCAAACACTCTTTAAAACTCAGAAAGGTGTATACTCACTTCTGAGTAAAGTATGCTGAAGTAAGTTTGCCAGAACTAGAGGAATATTGTCTTCACATCTCTTAAATTCTGATCATCCACATCGGCCTTCCTGCTGTTGCATTACTTATGCCCCCTAAGCCTGATTTCACCTTCCAAGGGAAACCAATTTGCCTACTTCACTTCACAGAGACATTTAAGGGCACTTGATTGGTTCTCATTTCATAGCTGATACCTTACTTCATAGCCACGGGTCATGGCCCGACACCATTCCAGCAACATGGTCTTCACAGTGTTTGTACCTCCAGTCCTCTTGATATTGGGGGCAGGACCAGTTGCAGCCCTTTGGGAGATAATTAAGGGGAAGAAAGGGAGGGAATAGGAAGGTAGAGAATAAACAAATGTATTTTTTAATCATACACAGATCCTATGAGATTTGGCTGGTGTAAATCCCTTTCTCCCCATTACTGTCTTTTCTGCTGAACATCCGGTGGGACAGAGATCTGCCTGATTTGTAGCAATATCTGCTATCTAATTTGATTTTGTAAATATGTATGCATTTTATAATTTGTGCAAGAGAAACACTTGGTTAGAGAAAGGGTTTTTTAAATAGAGGTACGGAATATGATTGTGTTCTGGTGGGCTTGCCTGGCTGTGCAGACATCTCTGGAGTATAGCGGTATGGGTTATCATTGCCCAATATATGAAGTTTATTGTGGCAGTTTAGTCACACTCCTTAAACATGGCCTTGGATGATAATTGTGGCCAGTGCTGTCTGGGGATGATGGATATTGCTTGGGGAAGGCTGGGTGTTTATATTGTGGTAAGCCAAGTATGGGTGGAAGAGTGCTAAGACTTCTTCAGGGATTATAGAGTTTTTCTACGTTAAGAGCAGATTTGGGTGATACAGTGAGGCAAACAAGGCAGTACTGTGTATGCTACATAAATATATGCATCTAGAATTTTAGGATTTTCTTTTGGGTTGGATTGGGTTTTTTTCCCAATGTCAAGATGCATTGTGTGATGAATATGCTCCATTTCCTTTGCATGATACCTTCCTTTTATTGAACGGCCCTTCAATAAAGTAGCAGTAGCATATAGTAAAGTTCTAAATGCTCCACTTCCTTAAAAGCTTTGGAAAATCAGTTTTGGGTTGGGGTTTTTTTTTTTTTTTTTTTTGGTTTTTGCTAATCTCTCACTTCAGCTATGTGTGAAGCACAGTTTCTTTCTTTGCTTTCTCATTGAACAGAAGGCTTGTCATACCCCTTGTCTCATAGCTTATGTTTCAGCCAGCCAAACTTGGAGAAAACTTCTCAAGTGCAGTTATGTTGGTATGAAACCATACATTCCTGCCAGGATTTGTTGGAATACTACATTCATTGTCAAGGCTGATCTGGCACCATAGAAGAAGAATCTTTCTTGGCTTCTCAGCATTTCCCAGCACTTTCCCCAAAGCAATCCATCCATTGCAATGACCAGCCAGATAACAGGCTGCCTTGATTAATGTTGTGTAAACCACAGATAGTCCTCGACTTACAACAGTTCATTTAATAACAGTTCAAAGTTCCTACAACACTGAAAAAAAGAGACTTATGACCATTTTTAGCAGTAATGACCTTTGCAGCATCGCCAAGATCAAAATCCGAATGCTTGGCAACTGGTTCATACTTATGACTGTTGCCGTGCCCCCAGGTTGTATGATCACCTTTGGTGCCCTTCTGACAAGCAAAGTCAATGGGGAAGCCAGATTTACTTAATAATCAGGTTATTAACTTATCAACCGCAGTGATTCACCTAACAAGTGAGGCAAGAGAAGTAAGCAGTGGATGGCACTGAATCGGACAGTATGATAAACACATTTGGGAGTTGCATACTGTGAGAATGAAATGAAGCACATTAAGGTTGTTTTGCAAATGGAACAAATTATCATCCGGAGGAGCTCAATGCACAGCCTATTTTAGGGCTTATGTTAAATTATTCAGTTGTTTTCAGTCTCAAAATGTCTGGAAACCATGCCGCTGAGTTTCATTGGCAAGTCAGGCAGGCCACATACAGCTGGAGAGCTACTGCCCTCTCCAGTGCTAAGATATAATATAATTGCCTTGGTTTCAGTTTACTGTAAGGCATGCATTTAGCCCTCGTGTTTTGTAAGCCAAACTACAGAAAGGTTTATCGGTATATCCATCAGCAAGGCTGAACAAACTGTAGTGAAACGAGCTATGGCAGAACCTGAGACCCAACGGCCTTACCCTCCAAACTTCTCCACAATGGCTTTGCGGGACTGTCCCCTGGGTGGCATCCTCGGCCTTGTTATCTCTCTCTGGTTAAAAGCGGGCCTCTTCTTTTTCTCTTTGGCAGCAGCTGCTTCCTCTGGTGCAGCAGAAGGGGGCTCTTTCTCTCCCTTCAGGACAGCTTCAGGGCTGAGAGAACCAGAAATAAAAACATCCTGAGTCCAAAGCGCTGGAGAAGAAGTGACACCAGGTGAGTCTCTATCCTGGGCATTCAGGGAGAGTCTCTCAGAAGAGATGGGTGTGGTGCAGAGGTGGTATTCAGCTGGTTCTCTCCAGTTTGGGAGAACCGGTAGTGTCAGCTATGGGAAGCTCCGCCTACCTGCCCTGAAGTAATGTGCGAGCACTGTGCATGCACAGAAGGCAGTGCTCATGTGTAGACACGGCACGTGCGAGCGAAGTGAGAGAGAGAGAGAGCGTGTATGCTCACATTTGCGAACTGATAGGGAAGGTAAGTGAATCCCACCACTGGTGTGGTGGCTTAGAAAGGGAAAATCCCCTTTCTGCCTGCTCTTCAGTAAAGAATACCAACAGTTTGGCTCATGGTTCCTATTATGTCTTAGTCTATGTCTTATGTCTAGTTCCCTAGAAAATCATGGTGTTAATCCCCATATCTTGCAGCTAGAAATGTGAAGATCTGAGGAAAAGCTGAAACACTACTATCTCCAGTCTTGACTTCTTCCCAATTTTTCTCATTCACCACTCCAATGTTTCTCTTTGCCCTTCCCAATTTTCTGAGCATTCACATACTTATTAGCATCCTCCCTTGATTTGACCTTTCATCTATTAGGGCCAGAAGATGAAGTTCTAGCCCCAGCACCTCCAGAAAGCATCCGTTTGGAAACTACTACTGAGAGTTAATGCTTTGGATGCCTGACATCAGGGGTGGGCTGCTATAGGTTCACCTGGGCTCAGGAGAACCCATAGCTAACGTTATGGCTGGTTCGCAGAACCTCCAAATCCCAACCCTGGCTGGCCCCGCCCAGCCCACCCTACCCCTTCCAGGAGTCTCCATGTGGCCCGTTTTGGATGTGAGATAAGTGCAGGGCCTACATGGAAGCTCAGAGAGGAGGGAAAACAGGCCTCCCAGAAGCTCTGGAAAGCCTCTGGAGCCCAGCAGAGGCAGTTTTTCCCCTTCTAGAGGCTCGAGGAAAGACTCCCCCCCCCGCCGTGGTGCAGGAGGCCGACTAGGCCACGCCCACCATGGCCATGCCCACTGAGCAACCAGGCAATAAACCCGCTGCTGAAATTTTTGAAGCCCACCCCTGCCTGACATCATATGCTCACGGCACTGCTCTCCTCCAAGCTTTAAGAAACTTTTCAGCAACCAATTAATGGCCACAGAAGGGTATGTATTAGAAATCTAAAGTCCTTGATAGCAGCTTGGAGGCCAAGGTTTAACCTTTGGGGGGAACACTTCCTATTATTTCTTGTCCCATTTTGGTCATCCCAGTCATTGCTGAACTTTGCTTTCTGAGTGCCCCCTGCAGAGTAAAAAGTTGTAATGCAGCCTCTGGGATGGGCAAAAGATACAGAATTGCTGATAGAAAATGATTTGCAGTCAATTGCCAAGGATCCTTTTCTCCTCATAGTTAAAAAAAAAAGGAGCCACCAATTCACCCCTGCTTTCTTCCTTCAGTATCTAATGATAGACCTGAAGTGTGTGTGGGGGGAAACTTTTAGGAAGAAAGGCTCCTGTGTTTAGCAGTATGAGCTATATTTAACTCTGAAATTCAATTTTCTCCTCAGTACTTCAATTCTTAGGTGTATATTTATTTATTTAGAAAATTTATTTCCTGCTCATCTCATATTCAGTGACTATGGATATATCTTTTGCATCAGGTTCTGATAAGCAATTATCAGGCTTGTGGCCATCTATCCCAATGTATCTTGTAAACCCGAATCTTGCCCATCTCAAATGCAGCCCACCTGCAAAATGTAGACAGGCTTCCAGAGCTTATCTCACCTGGTGATTTCTGTTGGAGCAGCTTCTGGAGTAGTAGCTGGTGGAGTAATGCCACCTAGATTGGATTACAGACGTGTGGATTATTAGTTTTTCTTACCTTGTGAATGAACCTCTGCCCCATGTCTGAACTATGGTCTCTTTAATCTCCTCGGTATCTTTCCCTCATCAATGTTTTGCAGTATAGAAAATAGCAGCGGATGGTTTCATAAATCATTACAGGGAAATGGAGAAAAGACCAGCCTGACGGGGGCAGGGGGGGAAATTGGAATTCCTGCTTACAAGGTATCAGCAAAGGTCATGAGAAAAATGTTTTCAGGACTGAGCAATAATGCTGGAAGTTATGCAGTCTAGAAACACTAATTGTGGAGGGTTTTGTTATTGTTGCTTCACTGGTAAGATAAATAAATAAAATGATTTACTCAGGATTAAGGTCCAGGCAGACTTTTTAGGATGAAGGGTGGGCAATTAATTTCCCCAAGGGGATACATGAGAAACTGGGGCTCTTGTAGAGGAACACTGATGTTGCCCCTGCCCCTGGAGCCCCGCTTTGCTACCCCACTATGCTACAGGCTGGAGACAGCTAGACAAAGGGTCAGATGTAGCCCATAAAATACCTAAGTCTGTTCTAAGAGGTATTATTTTAAGCAAGAATTTAAGCAGTGTATCACTTCTCCTTTTAGTCTATTCTGTCCCGCTTTAGTGTATTTGGCTTTCTCAGTTTGCTGAATGGTGTTTTCCTTACCCGTCTCCAAACCTTTGAGCTCGGTTGGGCTTTGTGGACTTGCTTCAGGAGAATGAGGAGGGAATTCTGGCCAGAATTCCTCCTCTTCCTCCTCAGGTTCTGGTGAAAGAGGCTCATCAGAAGTGCTGCCAGTTTGACCCTGCAGGTAGGGAAGGAGGATGGGGAAAATCAACCAGATTAATTTCTTCCTTCATTTGATTTTCTAGGTTTATATTCTGCCTTACCTTCAGCATCTCAAGGCAGCATGCATAGTATTCTCTCCTCCCATAATAATTCCCATTGTGATTAGGTTGGGCAGAGAAAAAGAGATTGTCCCGAAGTCATCTAATGCACTTCCTTCAGTTTGAGATGCTCCGGTCTCCCTCAGTCTAAATCCTTAAGCACTGCAGCTCTTTTAAAGTTCTTGTTTTGTTATGTATTCATATATTGATAAATAAAACAAACAAACAGAAATGATAGTTTATAAACTTCTACGTACATGGATTTCCTCTTTCTATTGAAAACCTTCCCTTGCTATTTTTCCCTTGTGCTTTCTAGCCTAAGGAGCAATAGTTTAGCCAGTTATTACAGAGCGGGAAATTCTGACTTCTAATCAGTTTCACAATGTAAGCAGGGAATTCATTTTTTTTTGCTCAGTTTTAAATATACAGCATTGTACCTTTTGTAAACTCATCTGGTAAAATCTCATCAACATTTCCTGTAGGCTTCAAGTAATTTTTCCAAAGGATGTTAGAAAGGCAATAGTTAATACTAATGATATATAGGTTAGGTAAAGGTAAAGGTTCCCCTTGCACATATGTGCTAATTGTTCCCGACCCTAGGGGGCAGTTCTTATCTCTGTTTCAAAACCAAAGAGCCATCGCTGTCCGAAGATATCTCCATGGTCATGTGGCCGGCATGACTAAATGCTGAGGGTGCATGGAACGCTGTTACTTTCCCACCAAAGGTGTTTCCTATTTTTCTACTTGCATTTTTACATGCTTTCGAACTGCTAGCTTGGCAGAAGCTGGGACAAGTAATGGGAGCTCACTCTATTACACGGCACTAGGGATTCGAACTGCCAAACTGCTGCTTTTTTTTATCAACAAGCTCAGTGTCTTAGCCACTGAGCCATTGCGTCCTCTTGATATATAGGTTAGTTTTGCATTTTCAGCTCATTTTAAATAGTAGTAGGAAGGTTCTGCATAATTTGAGAGCTCTACAAAGCAATAATGCAATTTTCATTTTAAAAAATTGCATCCAAAGTTTACCCAATTTCACTTATAAGTAAGTAATGCTAGTTTAAAGTGATCTCCTATTTTCATAAGCTCAGAGAAACCTCTAGAGGTTGCTATGCAACTATAGAACAAGGACAAACTACCTTCTTTCCTTCCTTCCTTCCTTCCTCCCTCCCTCCCTCCCTCCCTTCCTTCTTACTAACTTAACAACTGTAATGATTTGTTTAATAATAAAAATTTTGAACTCAATTGTGATCATGAAAACTACCTGTATACTAAAACTTGCCTTACTGTAAGTTTTGTATTTGTATGTTGTAAACATAATATAAGCTGGCACATAGCTAAAGGGAAACAAATTAAAATTAGTGACAGACATATATAAATCTGGGTAAGTGTATTTTGTCTATTTGCCCACCAACATAAAGTTACATAGACTAAAATAATGTGACATGAAAATATAAGAGCAAAAAGGATAAAAATACTCCTGATGTTCTCTAGAACAGCCTTTCCCAACCTTGGCAACTTGAAGATGTCAGGACTTCAACTCCCAGAATTCCCCAGCCAGCGAATGCTGGCTGGGGAATTCTGGGAGTTGAAGTCCGGACATCTTCAAGTTACCAAGGTTGGGAAACACTGCTCTAGAAAAGAAGTGACAGGAGCTAATTCTCTTGAAAGAAAAGAAGCAAATGGCTACCATTTGAAATGCATTCTGTTCTCACCTCTTCCTTGGCGTTTTTCTTCAAAACATCAGCCTTTTCCCCTTCCTCTTTCTGTAGGTCTTCTGGTTTTCCAGAAGCATCATCTTTGGTCTCGGATACACCTTCAGATTCAGGTTGGCTGCTGTCTTTGATTGTCTTCTCCTTCTGGCTTGTCTTGGATGCCGCCCCCTTTTCAGATTTAGAAGCCTCTTCTGTAGATTCTTCCTTCTGCTTTGCCTCAAGTCCAGCAGACTCAGTTTCCCCAGCCTCCTTCTCTCCATGCACCTCATTCTCAGCAGCCATCTTTGCTTTCTCTGCTTCATTTGCATCATCCACCTCTTTCCCAGTTTCTTCTGCAAACTTTCTGTTCTCTTTAGTTTCTTTCTCACCGGTTTCTGCTTTTCCTGCCTCACTCTCCCCTTCAAGTGCATTTTGAGTCATTTCTGACTTCTGCTGCAGCCCGTTGATCTGCTGGTTTTTCTCTTGTTCCTTGGTGTCTCCAGCCTCCATAATACCAGGTTTCTCTGTGGTTCCAATGGAGTGCAAAGTAAGTGGCCTATTGATGCTCCACTCCTGGAAATATACAGTGAAAAAAAACATGAAATCTCAGTGTTAAAAGTTTTCCACTTTTTTTACACAAATTAATAATGTATATTGTAACTGTTAATTTGTCCCAACTGCTTGGGCAATCCTTGGCATCTTTAATTCGCAGTTAAATGTGTGATCTGACTCTATTGAAAAGCTGAGGGCATTTAATGTGATGAGGGACTATTCACTCATCAGTGTGTGTGTGTTTTGTGTGTGTGTGTGTGTGTGTCAATTGCACTGAATACATTTTATTCCTTAAGATCTACTGTAGATGCCAGGAGGAGGAGGAATATGGAAGAGGTTAATTTCACAAAACCTTTCTTCTAAAGTATATGACATGCAGCTAAGAAAATTCTATAACTATTGCCAAACTGGAGATTTTGCTGTGCTGAAAATCACCTTACATAGGAATCACATCCAAGGCAGTAAAAACAACTTGCTCTGCACTTCTGTATTTCAGAACAATTGGATCATAAGCCATTAGAACTGTATTAAAGTTTTCAGAACTGCAGTTGCATAACCTCCTTTATTGGACATTCTAGTGCAAGTGGGGCTGCATTTATGTGCATCCCCCTATGCTTCTGAACAAAGGAAACATGACCTACAGTCTCATATTTCATGTCTGAGATCACAAAATGTGGCTTAACACAGAACCTGACAACATGTGCTTTAATCCACCCTTCTTTGAGTATTAACAGGCAGAGCTGTGCGCAGCTAAACTCACCAACCTCTATCTGGGTTAATCCGGTACATTTTTCTGCCTATGACAGGGTAGCAAATATTTCTCATCCCCAGCATAGATACATGGTGTTATTCCAAGTAAATTCAGTATAAAGTCTTTTGGCGTGTAAGGCAACAATCCTGTAGACAATCTCCTCTTCTTATGGCAGTAAAAACACAGCAGTCATAAAAGTTTTAGAAGTTGCTATTCTTGCCTTTTTCTCCTAATGATGTGATTGGTCCCGTCTGAGAACACTTCAAAGGAGCAAACTATCTGAAGCGCAAGATAGGTCCTCGGAGGCTGGGAAACTCCTGTCCTCTTCTTTTCTTCTCACTTAGTAAATCATCTTTAAATAAAACCTGCCAATGAAGTCCAGGAACAGCCAGTGACTCAGACATGGAAAGAGCAAGAGGCAGTTCTGGGGAAAAGGGGGCAGGTGAGTTGCTGTAACACCAACTAAAAATACCCTCCTGACATTTGCAAAGACAGTGGAGAGGTCAGGATGCCTAGAAATCTCTCAGCTCATTTCGCTTGGTACCCCATTATTCTTCCATGGGCTGTAACTCCATATTCTATTGAAAGCAATGGATATTTTTTTGTTTACTTTTTTTTTGCTTGTTTGTTTGTCCAGCATGTATGAGAAAACAAGTATAAGTATGAACATAACATGTAAACATATAAATATAAGCAGGTATAAGTATATACATAAGAAATGAGTAAAGACAAATGGGGACAATAGAACAGGGATGTTGGCACGCTGCTGCACTTATGCATGCCCCCTTACAGACCTCTTAGGAATGGGGTGAGGTCTACGGTAGACAGTTTAAGGTTAAAGTTTTGGGGATTTGAGGTTGTAACAACAGAGTCAGGTAGTGCATTCCAGGCATTGACCACTCTGTTGCTGAAGTCGTATTTTCTGCAATCAAGTTTGGATTGCAGAAAATCAAAATCAAATTTGTTAGTTTTTAATTACTAAACACATGGTAGTTTAGTTTTAAAAAAAAACACCACAGTGGTTAGAATTCAGTACTGCAGGGCTAACTCACTGCTCACTCTAGGAGTTCAATTCTTTTTTTAAAAGTTTTTAAAATCTTTTATTTATTTTCATACAAATAACCACATGTATACCATTACATCATAACCAACACCATTTTGTATGGTTCAATATTATAGAGGGAAGAAAGGAGGTAGGGAGGAGGAGAGAGGGAGGAGGGGCAAGAAAGCGATGGATAGGGTATAAACATGGTATATGAAAAGCAGAAGAGCTAATGATAGCCTTTGGGGGTTGATGGAGTTCAATTCTGAATGCTCAAGGTTGACTCAGCCTTCCATCCTTCCGAGGTTGGTTATATGAGGGCCCAGATTGTTTGGGGCAATAGACTGACTTTGTAAACTATTGAGAGAGGGCCATAAAGCACTGTGAAGAGATATATAAGTCTAAGTGCTATTACTGTTGCTCTGTCAGTAAAAGTGCTGTTTCAGTATACTGGGAATAATCAAAGGGAAATATACAAAGAAAATTAAGTACATATTAAAACATCTGCTAACTACAG